TTCAGTTTTGTTGATGTAAAAATACATTCTTCTCTACCTGCTAGAGCTTTGGGGATCCTTTTATTCCATGTTTGAACTCCCTAATCTAGATGTCTGTCGTGTTCTGGTTTAGATTCTAGATTCCCTTTGGAAATAAGTTCTATAATCAGTTGTAGGTATTCAGCAGGGAATGGCCCCGGGACAATCTTTTCAGTTTTTTACAAACTATAGCTGGAAATTCTCTTAGGATACATATGTCTGTTTCATTTAAAACCCCCAAAACACTACCATGTAACACAGCCTTAAAATTAAAGGAAAAAAATGTTTTTATGATGAGGTTTTTAGCAGCTTTTAAACCTGACACTGCCTCTTCCTCACTTCATTTTATGTAAGTGCAGGATTTTGATGTCTGTCTGTAGAATGTGCATTGATGATACTGAAAAGTTCACACAAGACAAGGATTCATTATTGTAGCAGCACTGTACATCCCTGTGTGGCACTTGTACCTGTGGTGGATTGGATGATAACTCTGCAAGTGACACAGCCCTCTGAGTTCTGGAGTCTAGAGAAGTCACTCCTGTTGCTCAAGCTCTGACTTGGCCATAGATGTCTTTTCCATTTCTGAAGTTTTATGCTGACTGTGTGTAGAACTTCGATTTGACCCTTCAAACACGTTTCCAGCCCACTGGAGACACACTTTGATTTGAAGCAGTGCTTATTCAAAAAGAAAATTCTGGTAGCAAACACAGGAAGAGCTGTGCTCGGGAAAAGGCTTTTAGATCAATGTTAGCCCCTTGGGAAGCTCTGACTTTTTGCACTAACAGTGGTGCCAGTACTCTGATTTTTATTAAGAAAACCCTAACAGCTGGTTCCTTTCTCCCCATTATATCTGAATAACAATGAAAAGTGGAACTTAATATAATTTTTTTAAAAATTACACAAAAACAAGATGAAAAAAATACCAAAGTTTGGAGAAGTGGAGTTTTTAGTTAATAATGGCAGTTATAGAGGTTTGCAAGTTATGTAGTTTTTGTGCACCTTGAAATATCTTTTATTCAGTTATCACTATTTAAATACACAGTTAACAAGACAGCAATACAGTTTTAAAGCTGCAGATGAATATACAATTGCAACTGATAGTTGTTATTAAATAGTATCAATTATTATTCTTAAACTAGCCAATAAAGGCAGAGTAATTTTACTCTGCTGTCAGGTGCTAGTTAGGTTGTTACCTTTCTGTCCTGTACTGCTCTTGAACATCCTTTCACATTTTTAAATGTTCCATTGCTTCCCCAAGTACCTTTTGATGGAGGGATTATTTCTCTGATACCTTTTTGACTCTGCTGGCAAGGTGCAATCCTTCATGTTGTGAATCAATGCTAAAATATTTAAGGAATATTCTATGTAAAGAATTTTAGTAACAGGTGCTTGTAGCAGGACAAGAGCTATGGAACTGTAAACTAGAATAAGTAACTCCCCATGTTACAGAGCTTTCTGTTTTACCCTCCCTCATCTCAGTTAATTGCTACTTCAGAAAATGCTGTCAGGAGGTAATGAATACTGCAGAAAAAGTGAATCCCCAGCAACTTAATTGCTGCAAGTTCACTTCTCAACTTTGTGAAGATGCTGGAAATGACAATGAGCTTCCCTTCGGGCAAAATACATTAACCAGATCTTTGGGCTTGCTTCCTGACATGGGAAACCTCTAATGCAATTTTTGGCACTGTATGAAACAAAGCAGCAAATGGAAAGGGCCAAAGCTTTGCCTTCGTGGACACAGGATGGGAGAGTTTGCCCAGGAGTGTAACTTAATGGCAGGGGCTGCTGAGAAAACTATTTCCCTCTTTCCCAAACTCCAAGGGTTTCCAAAGCTGCCCAGTAGGGGGGTGCAGAGAAAGGCGAGGGGTGAACCTAAATCCTGAGCTCAGAGTTCTATGGGTCATAGCTTGCAGGTGTAAAAAGGAAAAAGCTATCAAAGTAAACATCCTCCAGTGCATGGAAAGATGACAGATTCTTTCTAACAAGATTTTCTGCTCTCCTGGAAGAAGACCATTTGTTAATAAACCATTTGAGAATCCATTTTTAAGGGATTTAATAAAATATACACAGATTGCCTTCCACTGCAGAAACTATTATTCCCATGGGTAGAAGAAGTGACTGACTGTGGGCATTAATGGCTACTTCCTGTGATTCCTGGCATTATAGCTTGCTCCCATTTGCACTTTTTCTACCCAAAGTGAAATAATTTTTTATGAGAAACCTGCACTTGATTCTTAGCTCTTAGGAGGCATGTATGTGTTCTATATTTTATTTATTTCTATTCTGTCAGGTCCATAATTCCAGTTGTTTTAGTGGATGTGTCTATAGCCTGGGTATTGTGTGTGTTTTGCATTGTGCACAAGAAAGTTTCTGTATCTAGCAAACTCCATTAAATGGAAGAGGTAATAGCTTTTGTGTGAATTAAATGAATTGTTTCATTCTTGCCAAAGATTTGCATTAATAATTCACACGTTTCCATTTAAAAATTTAGATTTTCTATTGTGGTGGTTGCTGTCAGTTAAGCAAGAAATCTGAATCTATTGTGGTATGAGATACTTACTTGGAGGGCTGGGTAACCCACAAAAGAAAAAGGGTGTCTTTTTAAGAATTTGGAGGAAGGTTTTCTACTGCCATCTTTCCAAATGTGCATATAAGTTATACTTCTTTCAAAGGAGAGAAATACAGTGGAATTGAGTAAGTCATTTCTGTAAGGACTCTTGCTCTTTCTGAGACTTTCAACAGACTTTGGTTCTTTTAAATTAGGAAACAATTTTTCTGCTAGGAACACTTCATATGGCTGTGTTTGTAAAAAACACCAGTTGACTTCAGAATCTGAGGATAGGAGGAGGAAGTCTGGGACAAAAGACCCTTAGAAGTCAAAGCATGGATGGTTTTATGTATGTAAATGTCAGATTCACTTATACCCCAAAATATCCTGTCTATATCATCTTACTGGCCTCCTTTTGTCAAGTGTGGTGAACAGCAGGCAGTGCTAGGAGTGAATTTAGTGTAGACTGCTGAGTGGCTGCCCAGGCAGACATTAGTTTCACAGAAGGAAGAATGAAATCTGGAAAGCTAATAGTATTACAGTCACTGGCAGCTCTAACAGATCCCAAATGGATGTACTTAGAGGCATAATTTGTTTGATTTTTTCCTTTACCAGAATTATCTCCATCTCATATCCAAGAGCTGAAGGCACAGTGGCAGGCTGTGGATGGCAAGATGGACAGTCATTGCTCGCTCATAGTGTTACAGCCTTTTATATAAATAGAGATTACAGGCAGGATGCTGCCAGGAAATGGCAGAGCTGCTGGAGAAAGGGACAAACAGTAGGACAGACACATTTAGAAGAGATGATTTATTCTACAGTAACATCTCTGTGTGTAGGAAACTTGTTCCTACTCATCACTTAGTGTCTCTGTGCTTGCTTGAGAATGGTGACATGTCAGCAGCAAGCAAGTGTAATTCCCCAAACAGAGACCTGAACAAAGCTGGTGAAAATTCGAGAATAATGTAGTATTTGTGCACTCTGAAGCACTTGTACCTCAAAAAGAACCAATCCAAATACTTAATTTCAGGGAACAATTTCAGATCCCTAGTGCTGAGAACATGAAACATGTGAAGGGTCTCCTGTAAACTGGGAAGTGTTCTCCTGCAAAGTGGCATGTGACAGCCAGTAGTTACCCTTTGCTCCCCTTCACAGTAGGGCTCCAGATGTATGCTTGGGCATGGGACAGATGAGTTTTGTAACATCTAACCATTGGAGATCCTGAGAGCTTGGCTAGAGTGCATCAGAAAGGCAGGTGGAGGGCTGGAGTTAAGGGAGGCTGTGGCTTTTTCGGGAATGAGCTGGGGTGAGTGCAGGTTCCAGATGGAGCAGTTTATTCAGCCTGAGGCCAAATACTGAGTAAGCCTTTGGTGAGTGGAGCTGAAGGAAGTGCAGACAAATTAAGAGCATAACCACTTTTACAGAATCTGTGAACTTAAAATCTCAGCACAAAGGAAGCTCAGTAACTACTGCACAGTAGTTGGTGGCACACTAAAGATCATTGAGCAGTAAAAGGAGTGAAATAAAGTATTTACTTCTGTCCACTGAACCACATACACTGGGTTCACTCTGAAATGTGTTGGTTGCCTTGCTTTTTGTCTTGAGGGCACTGCTGTGCACCATCAGACAAACATGTCGGGGAAGGAGTGACTTTTTTTGCTTCCTGTCTTGACAAAATTCAGTCTATAAATTGCTAAGAAAAGGCCATGCAATGACTGTGAACTGCAAACTGACCCCCACTCCTCTGACCTCAGCTTCTGTGGTAATTGCAGGCTTTGCTTTTTGTAATGCAATAGATATTTTCATTACATCCATACTAAATGTGGCACAAGCTTATTGGCTTGTAGGATTTGAATGTGCACTGGTTTGGAGTGAAATGTGTGCAGTTCAGGGACTGGCAGATATAACAAAGCTGACAGGCCCTTCAAAAAGCAGAGGAGGCTTTTGGTAAATCTGCTGTCAATATCTCCTCCCCCAGCTTATCTATGTAAGTTTTAAAATATTGCAATATTGTGGCAATTTAAGATATAAAGGCTTGTTTTAAATTAAAATTTGCTTCCAGTCTTACTTATGGATCTCTTACCTGGTAAGCAGAAAACCAGGAAATTTCCATTTTTCACTGGTTGGCACTCCTCTTGCTTTGAGGAATACCAGAAGCTACTCTTGACCACTCTCATAGATTTAGATTTAGAGAGTTTTGCTTTGATAGTTCAATAATAATCTGCACTGTTTCTAATTAGCAAAATTAGTGGTCATATTTACAAAGTGTTGCATAGCTGTGGAACAGTGTATGGTTAGGGGAACCTGTATTCATTAATACAAAACCTGAATAATGTCATTTCACTAAATAAGTGTGTCTTTGATTGCTTTATTTGAACAGTTCAAGTGACTGAACTTTCATGGCAGCTCTTTACAGGTTTTTCTTTGTTTTCAGCTGCTGGAAAAATTAAAAGATCGCTGGATGCACACGGGATTATGGAGAAACCTGGAGCTGGTTAAAACAGTCATTGCAGAGCCTCAAGGAGGGGCAAAGAGTGACTTTGATGAACTGCTGAAGATATACTATGATGCAATAAAATGTAAAGGAGAAAAAGGTAAGTTCTTCAGACACACGGAATAGTTCATACAGACTCTTCAAGTTTAATCAAAAAGGGGTGAAGGATTCTTAAAGTGCTTAACAATTAGCTTCAGGGAAGGATAAACAGTTAAATTGACCTCAGCTTAATATGCTGTTGTTATAAAGGAGGAAGATTAACTGGGATTTGTACTGCTGCATGAGGATGGATGGAAGCAGAGGATGTTGCATCATCCTGGTAGTGATGTTCTGAAGGCAGTGAGCTGAGTAAGGGTGCACAGTTGTGTGTGCAGCAGAGCACAGAGTGGCTTCTCAGAGGATCCAATTTATACTACATTGCACAGCTGCCACTTACCATCATATATTACAGCCACTATAGGATTTCTCTGCAAAATACTTAAAATTTCTCCTCAGAATACTTAAATTTAGTATAAAGACTGATAGTATGTCAGAAAATGAATAGCTTTCTTTTTGGTCTGCAAAACTTATTCTACAATTTTAAATTTTATTGTAGATACATATGGTTCTTACATGATTAACTATCACCATATTGCATTATGCAAAATTATTTTGCCAGTTGATGTTGAAAATCACAATATTATTGATCAAAGTGGAGCTAATCTCATCCCACTAACAAAGAAGTCTATATTTTTGTGTCCCCTCACCTTTTGCAGACTGACACATGGTGTATTATGCTATATTACATTAAGCTCTTTAAAAGATGTTGGTGAAACTTTCTCCTGACCTTGAGTTTATCAGTGGGACTGATTTGTGTATTCCTCTCTGGCTCGTTCCAGATGGAGCACTCCTGATAGCTGTGTGCCGAGGAAAAGTCAGCGAGGGCTTGGACTTCTGTGATGAGAATGCCCGTGCAGTTATAACCATAGGTATTCCCTTCCCAAATGTGAAGGACCTTCAGGTAGGATATCAATTGAAAGAGTTGTACTTCATCTTTATGACATCTTTAAAACACCAAATATGCACAAAGTATTTTTTCTAAATGTTTTCCCTTGGACTCCCCTCAATCCCGTTGAGTTCTTTGAGCTACTTTCCATACAGGTAGGGTGAGGAACAGCACAGCATGTCTTGTGGATACATGTCATTCTAAATAAATGTATATCATGCTGGATGCATTTTGAGTTTTTGTCTGACACTGCCAGTTGAAGGCTACTGCATTGTTAAAACACTCCTCAGCTTCACACTTTGCCAAGCAACAGTGCATGTTTCCATTGCCAGCTGCCTGTTTCACACCCCACAGCTTGTGTCACCTGTATACAAATGAAGTTACTTTCTGACTCGTTGCTGTTGTGGGGCATTTGGCTGTGAAGGTCTAGGATAAATTTTAGGAAAATATTACTTTAAATAAGGCATTCAGATTGATCAAAAGATTATTTCAGAAAATAGGTGGGAAGATAAAGACAGTCACAGTGTAAAATAACAATGTGATGAAGCAGTACACTAGATGATTATCAGTTGTGATGTGTCACCTTTCTAATAGCTGTTGCCTTCTCTAGTGTCACTGTGTATGATGTTTTCCACTCAGAGTGGAACTGTTAAATGTTTTCCAAGCTAATGCTGCTTTATTAGCTGCAATTTTGAGGTATGATACTGTGACTGAACAGAACCTCTTCCTGGATACTAAGGACATTATGATTTTGATAATTCAATCTTTATCTACCTTTAGGCAAAAACTGTTAAGTGCCTTCTAAAAATAGTATTTTGAAGTGCCTCCAATTAAAGAAATTTGAGACTGTGTTTTTCAGCAAGTGGCCAAGGTATCATCCTGTTGCTCACACTGCTGTGTAATTACCCACATCAACACTTCCTTCCTTTGGACTTCAGCAGGTCTTATGGCTGGGTGATGTTCCATTAGAAAGGGCACTTCGTAGCTGAATCCAGGCATTCATAAACAAAAAAAAAGCAAATGAATATGGAAAAATGGTTTTCTAGACTTTCTACTTAGTGAAAAAGAACATTTATTGTTAACTAGTTTATAAGACCACTTATTTTTTAGTGGTCTGTTGTGCTACTTGGGTAGTCACCCAGCTGCTGGTATGTGTCTTCCAGTGATAACAGCCACTGTCACTGCTTTATCTTGTGTGTACCTTTTAGAGCTTTTTGGGACTGCTTTGTGAAGCTAAGAAACAAAGTGAAGTATCCCAGAATAAATAAATACCAGGAACAGCTGGTTTCTGGTTATTAGCAATGCCAAATCAAACAAGAAACTCGTAGCTTCACACCTGGAAGCCCAAACAGAGTGAGCTTTGGTTTTAGAGATGTGTTCTGGGCTTAAGTGAGCAACCAAAGACTTCTTTGTTGTCTGCAGTGTGTGCCTAATTACAGCCTTGCTGGGAAAAACCCACATCCTACAAGGACTAGTAAGGTTATATTAGTGGTGGCTGCCTAGTGCAATGTTCTTTCAATGTTTGCATAACCTTCTTGAAATGCTTATTCAGCCTCAACATTTTTTGTTTTACTAAAATATAATACACAGTACTTTAGTATAAAAACATTTACATTCAAAGAATGCTTAGCACTCTTTCTAGAGTTAGAAATGCTTTGTGTTAGAAGCATATGCTGAAGTGATCTTTTGGGAACACTTGTTCTGTAGTATTGCTGGAACTCCTACAATTTATTCCAAGTGCTTTTCAGAAAGTCGGTATTTTTGTCTTCTAAATGATACTAAATTAATTGAGAAGAATGTGTCAAAGGTGAATTATGTTCACAGTGGATTGTGTTTCTTAAAATAGTGTATTTAATTTTACCTTGAGTTCAACCAAATATGTCATGTAATAGAATCACAGGCTGTCCATTCCCTTCCTGCTAACTAAATTCCTGCTAACTAAATTTAAAAAAAAATCAGTGTTGTGTTGAACTATTTTTTTTTTTTAATTGGACTGAAGAGAACCTCTGAATTTTTAAGTAGGGATAGAAACACTAGCTGCCAACTTGCAAGCAGCTAAAGGATGTAGTGTATATATTTAGGTATGGTAATGCACAAAGCACTGCAGTGATCAATTCTAGATGAGAGAAGGGCAGGCACCAGTCTCTGAGCATCAGATCTGAGGAGCTGTCTGGTGCACAGCAGTGCTCCTAGAATAGTGCCAGAGGAAATGGGGTTTGTTGTAAATGTGTCTTTTCCTCAAGATCTTGGACCCAAAGTGGTATCCAGCTAGCAGTAACTCCCTTTAAATGGGATGGTGTTTTGTTCAAGTGAAGCTCCAAGGCTTTAGGCTTATCAGATACCCCAGAAAGTTCTGGATTCTTTTACCAGCTGAACTCGATTGTGTGAAGGATAGAGTGAAAGATAGACACTGTGCTCACTGAAGAAGATTAACTGGTAGCTCTGTAGAAATGTAAACATAGATACAGAAGAAATTTGGAAGATTAAGCACCTTTTTCAGCAGCATGTCAGCTTGGGAAAGAAATTGCATTATCTTTTTAAGGAAAAATGACTTTTGATGTGAAGCTTGGCATGTCAAATTAAAAAGTGGGGAAGGAGAACAGAACGACACCAGCTCTTACTTGCAACTGCTCTTTTTGTATCTTTCTGGGAGAGCTGATCTAATAGTTTTGCATCCCAGAATGGAATAAAACAAATGTTTTATGAAAGAGTATAGAAAAATATTCCTGTACACTTTATTATAATTCTTCTAAGTGTTTTGGAGTTATATTCAGTGAGTAAAACTTCATAGAACTGAAGGAGTGTTCATTTGACAATAAGGAAGAAAAAATGCATGACACTTGCAGAGATTGGAGGGGAGTCTATAAACAATGCTCTTATGTAGCAGATCGTATTACCTGGAATTAAAAGAGATTCTTCATTAATTACAGACAATTGACTTAAGCCTTAACCTGTTGTCCTAACCAGCTGGAGCTTGACTGGCTGTTCCATTAGCAGTGAGAAACCCAAAGTCACAAGCCCAGTTGCCAGAGGGTTAAATGATGCTTGTGCCAACATTCTTATGATGCCAGTTCATCTTCTAACCATGCTGTTATGATAAATAGTTTGGAACTGAGGTGGGAATGGAGTTGGATTTTAAAGTGAAAGCTGATGATCAAATACTCCTTGTGTTAAACAGTAGAAATAATCTATGATACAACTTTCAGGAAGAATGTGGTTACAGGATCTTATTCATATACCTTTTCCTAGTCAGGAGTGTTTTCAAAGCATATCAGTGGTGGTCATCAGACTAAGAAGATACAAATTCTCCCTTCCAAGTACAACTGAGTGACTTTCTTTTAGGGTGGCTGATTTTATTTTAAATGTTTCTCCTTATTAACAGTTTTTTTCTGTTGGAATTCTTTTTTTCTCTTGGGGTTAGAAGACTCCAGATTTTTACACATTAGAGGACACTGTACAGTTTATCTCTTTTCATAGGATTTTAGGATATGTTAAATTCCCAGATGAAACAGGTAAAGTTTATAGGATAGTTGTGACATTTGCTGTTATGATTCAGTTGCTTCGTGTTTCTTTAGATTTTGTAGGCTTGGAAGTTATAAAACTTGCAGCTTTGGAGTTGAGCTTGAGTTTTGAACAGACAGAAGAAAATTCAAAACAATGACACAAGTCAAGATAGACCTATACAGACATAGAATTGTGAATGCAGGTACATGTGTCACTTTGCCATAGCAATAGGTGCTTAGTAGTTATACCAGATGAAGAAACTGATGGTTAGTAGTGACATCCCTTTAAAAACAGGAAATGCAAGTGATGAACAGTTCCCTTGGAATATCCATGGCATATGTCTGGGATTGGTTTAAATCACTAGAAAGTGCTCCACTTCTACAGGAAAACACACTTGCATGTCTGCTTTTTGGGTTAAGAAAAGTCCTCTAAAGACTCAATTCCATAACCCCTTACTCCTGCACATAGCTGTTACTCGTGTGAGTAATCCTTTTAATACCTCCAGGGCTGTGCATGGTCCTAAGGGTTTGTAGAATCATAACTCTGGAGACTGATATTTTCTGCTGGCAGTTTGATGTTGGCTCATCTCCACTAGTATTACTTGTCTGTGATTAACCTGCTTGCTAAATATAGTTTATGATTTGTAACTTGATGCTAATACCAGTGAACTGTAATATTAGAGAACATAAATAATGTGACAGGAAAAGATGTGTAATCCCATGTACATGTTTTCTGATGGTAACATACTATTCATTAACTCCTGTGACAGATTTTCAATTGCAGTATTTTGGATCAAGACATCAGTCTTTAGTTGGGCAAGAAAGTAATTGTCAAGTGTGATGTATAATATACGATTTTCTTTTCTCCCTATGTTTGTGCTAAATATATGCCACAACTTCTGGTGTTAAATGGCAAGCATTTGATCTCCTTAAGTAACTGTGTGCTTTTATAAGTCATATTATTTTCTATAGATCCCTTAAAGGGTATCACTTAATTTTGTTTAAAAATTTAAGCATGTATTATTTTGTATTCACTCATTTCCACAAAGAGAAGAACCTAAAACACTTTTTCAGTGTCAGGGAGAAAAATGATTACGGCTCAGAGGTGTACTTGATAATAAACAATACTGATTTAAGAAATAGAGGCCAAAACCCTAATTCTGTGTTATTGAAAATGGTTTCATATTGCTGAAGAATCAGGTTGCTAAAGCAAAATATATAAAAGAAATGTTAAAGTATTGCTTAAAGCTATGGTACTCTCAATGGTAGGGTTTGGCTCTAGTAAAGCAGGAAAATTTATTTCAGAGCCAAAAACGACTTCTTTGGCTGTGACCAGGATTTCCTCTGCCCACCTCTGGGACCTGAAACTAGAGGCAGGAAAATCTGATTTTGGAGCCAAGTGTGACTTGTTTAGTTCAAGCCATAATTTACTGTTCTCACCTTGGGGACCTGAAAATAAAGAAACTCCCTCTGAAATGTTGACAATGGGGGACTCTGAAGTGCAAGCATTAA